AAAATACTACCACCATTGATGGACAAAGCTTCAAGCTTTAAAGTGGGTCTACATTCAAATCGAAAATTTCAAGCTCAAATCAATTTGTTATTGTTAAAAGGGTTTGAGAAAATACAATCACCATTGATGGACAAAGCTTCAAGCTTTAAAGTGGGTCTACATTCAAATCGAAAATTTCAAGCTCAAATCAATTTGTTATTGTTAAAAGGGTTTGAGAAAATACAATCACCATTGATGGACAAAGCTTCAAGCTTTAAAGTGGGTCTACAATCAAATCAAAAATTTCAAGCTCAAATTGATTTGTTATTATTGAAATGTGTTGAAAATATTTTTGAAATAGATGATGTATAAAACACCCAATAACCTAGATTCCTATTGTGCTAAATGCTAAATGAAGATGAATTTAAATTTTTTTTGTTTAGCAAGCATAAAGCTACATATTTAAAAATTTTGAAAGACACAAAATTCACATAACTTGCAGGGTTGTTAGTGAAAGTGAAGAAAATAGTAGTTTTAGTGAACAAGTCATCTTCTTCCTTGAAAGATGAGTTCTTGATTCCATGGTTATGGTGGGTTGAGAAGAATAAAGGGATGATTTTTGATGAAAATGAAGAGTGGATTTTAGCACCACCCATTTTGGTTGTGGGTCGGGTGGATTTTTAATTTTTGGGTAAAAAATAAAGGACAAATTACATAATTACACTCCTTTACTTACCTTAATATCCATTTATCCCTACTTATTTCAAAAATTTCAAAAATCCCTTATTTACCTATGTATCCCGCATGTATCCCGTGCACAATGTTATGTATCCCATTGTGTGGAATGCATCAAACTCTATGTATCCCGTGCACAACGCTATGTATCCCGTGCACAACGCTATGTATCCCGCTATGTGGAATGTATCAAGCCTAATGTATCCCGTGCACAACGCTATGTATCTCGTTATGTGGAATGTATCAAACCTAATGTATCCCGTGCACAACGCTATGTATCCCGCAAACATCATTTTTAAGGGATTTTTGGTAAATAGAAAACAAAAAGGAATAAGATGTTATTTAGTACTTATAATATGTGGTTCCTATAATTTATACAAAAATAAATAAAATTGGGTAAATCATTTAGATGATGCCACGTGTCCATCCGTTGGATTCAAGGATATATACAACCTAAAAGAATGACGGTAAGGGCATATACAACCTTAAAGTATAACGGAGGGTATTGACATACCATTTATGATAGTTCGGAGGTATATTTGTCATTTTTCCCTTTTTTTTTTGCACGAAGTGTTAAATATGAAGAATATTTTTAAATTTTGTAGTCTTAAATTTAAATTATATCACATATATTAAAGTAAAAAGTATTTCTAATTTTATAATCACAGATACGCTATGTAAAAAATTAAAATTAAGAAGTAATTTTCTTTTTTAAGTGAAATAAAAAAAAACATGTTCAAATAAATTGATACGGAAGGAGTCATATTTAAAAAATAGAATAAATATGTGATATTATTAGAAAGAGCTTTAATATATATTTTAAAAATTATTTTGTCTTCCGTATATTATTTTGTGCATATATGTGGAGTTTAAAGTTTTTAACATTTTAATATAGAAATATGATTATTTGAAAATTTTAGTACTTTCTTCATTTAAATTTTTTCTTGTTTTTCTTTTAATTTGTTCTATATTTAAAAATTACATAAAAAGTACTTAAAATCACAATGTAATAATATAAGCTATTAAAAAAACCATAATTAAAAATCATAAAAGAAATTTTATTGACTCTTTAATTCCATATTGAAACAAAAGAAGTTTGTTTGAAAATAACATAAAAAGTACTGTAAATTAAAGTAAAATAACAACTAAAAATATTTAAGAATCATATAAGAAATTTAGTTCACTTTCGTAAAAGTACCTACGTCACATAAAATGGAACAGAAAGAGTAATATATATTATTTGAAAATGATATAAGAAGTGCTATAAATCACAATAAATTAACAACTTCAAAATATATATAACAAAATCACATACAAAAAATTATATAACTCTCCAAATTTCATCGGTGTCACATAAATTGAAACAAAAAACTACTCCCAATTTATGTGACTTACTTTCCTTTTTAGTCAATGCCAAAAGAATGTCACATTTCTATATTAAGTAACAACTTGACTATAAAATATTTATTTTATCTTTAATGAAATAATTTACAATCATACAAATTTATATAATTCATTTTGGACCACAAGTTTTAAAAGTCTTCATTTCTTTCTTAAACTCGGTGGCGAATCTAACTACCTCACATAAAATGAGACGGAGGAAGTAATATATATTGGGCCCGCGCTGGCGCGGAAACCTAATATCTAGTATATAATAAGCCACAATGCAACTATCATTGTAACTATCTTGTTAACTTTCAACCAAAAGCTAACAAGATTTTTAGTTACATATTTATTATTTAGTTAAATAATAAATATGTCATTGTATGACCTATTTATTACTAATTCCTTTTGAATTTGTTAAATTTTGATCTGACACATAGTTTACGAAAGTAAATTAGATTTTGAGAAAAAACATTAAGTGATACTTGAAGTTGTCCCAGATTTTCAAAAAGACACATTAACTTTGCGTGCGTCCTATTACCCCACAAAACATTCAAAATCACAATAAATACACATTTTTTACACAATATTTCCACTTTGGACAAAAATATCTTTGGAATGTGCAATTTCTTAAAAACAAAAAGTCGGACCCATTATTGATGTATTGAAGGATGCTTTGGTAATTTCCTATGATGAATTCGTTTTGTTTGTTTCTTTTAAATTTATTTTACTATACTAAATAGTTCTATAAAATATTATGAATCACGATAATTAATTACTTGAATATTTAAAAGATATAAAAATATATAAAAGATCTGATTGACTCTTCAAATTTTACCGGTGACACATAAATTGGGACAAATGAAATAATATATATTATTTGAAAATTTCTTAGAAAGTACTATAAATTACAGTAATTAACAGCTAGAAATATTTCAAAGACAAAAAAAATTGATTGAATCTCAAATTTTTTTTACTACTACATAAATTGAGAAAGAAGAAATGACCTCTATTATTTGAAAATGGCATAAAAGTATTACAAATCATATAATAAGAATTAACAATTTAAAAATTTAAAAGACTTTAATGCTTTATACTTATTCTATTTCCACTTTGGAAAAAAATATCCTCCCAATATGCATATTTTTTTAAAACAAAAAGTGGGACCCATTATTGATGTATTCAAGGATGCTTTGGTAATTTTCCTATGATGAATTCGTTTTGTTTGTTGTTTAATTTTTTTAAAATAATTGTATAAAATATTATAAATCACAATAATTATTTACTTAAATATTCAAAAGATATAAAAATATGTAAAAGATCTGATTAACTCTTCAAATTTTTTCGGTGACACATAAATTGGACAAATGAAATAATATATATTATTTGAAAATTACTTAGAAAGTACAATAATTTACAATAATTAACAATAGAATATTTTAAAGACAAAAAAAATTGATTGAATCTCCAAATTTTATTAATACCACATAAATTGAGAAAGAAGAAATAACCTTTATTATTTCAAAATTGCGTAAAAGATATTACAAATCATACAACAATAATTACAATTTAGAATGTTAAAAGACATAAATTTTTTTTTACCATAGTTAACAATAATTAAAAATTTAAACTATTTTAAATTAATATTAAAGTTTGATTAACTCTTTAATTTTATATTTGTCACATAAATTGAAACAAAAAATAATACATATTGGGCCCGTGCTAGCACGGACTCCAATGTCTAGTATATATATATATATATAGTTGGATAGCCTTAATTAATATGAATTCAAAGATATCTATCGAAAGTATTTCTCTCCTTTAAGTCCTTTTCCCTACTTAAAATATCTTCATCAGTTAATTTGTATTTGGACAATATCTATCTCAATGTTTGCCCTACTCTTTTTTATTTCTTCTTTTTGGATGTTTTCTTTGCTCAGTCAGCATATATTTTTTTTAGATAGTGTTTGATCATATATTTTGTATTAAATATAAAAAAATTAGTTTTATTTCTATTCTAATCCATGGCAGTTGAAAGCCTCGTGAAACTGAGATCTGTCCATGCAAGAAGACAAAAAAAAAATCTGACTGCTAAAATGGACAATAGTTCTCTCTTTCTTTTTTTCTTTTTTTTCTTTTTTCACTTTTGCTAATAAACTTTAGTATATAAATTGTCGCATTTTTGGCATGTTACTATTTTCTTTTCCTTATTACATTTAAAAATTCCAACTGTATTTACATAATAGAAGCAAAATAACAACAATACATAATGAATAGTGATTATATGATTGTTAAAATTAAGCAAAATAAAAACAAAATTTGACCAAAAAACTAGTCAACTTGATTATGTAATGAGTTAATAAAGGGATACACATCAAAAAGTTTAAGATGATTCATTTTCAGGTTTATTAATTATTAGAAAGTATCATTTCATGAAATTCAACTTATACAGACCCTATTAGAGATTTCTCCATTTTCATAGTTTGAACCTACTTTTGATTACCGGTATTATACTGACATGTACCTATAAACAAATCCGTGTAACAAATATTTTCCTAAAAGATTGATTTATTGTCCTGTAGTAATTGATTCCTCTGCCATTTCGTTGAAATACTATAAGTACTCTAGTAATTAATTCATGAAAATGTTGAAGGGTCACCATCATTTTGTATGTATTTTTATTTTGGTAAGGGAAGGCGAAATAGGACAGGAGGTTACAAGATGGATAATCGTCATAAATCAAATTGAGGTACTAAGATTCCCGTATCATTTGTCAAATCTTGCTTCCTGTTTCACAATTAATAAATATAACAACCCTCAACTTCATTTTATGTATAGACAAGTCCAAATTTATGTTTCAAATTACAAAGAAGGAGAAAATTCATTCAAGGAAAAATATTAAATTAGTATGAACATGTTGAATGAGGCATTAATTTCCCAAGAAAATCAGAACCCTCAATTTCCAAAAGCTCTTCTCTATAATCTATATGTTGGTCATTTTCTATCCAGATGGAGTGCCAGGTTACTATATATTATGTATTTTATTTTCTAAAATTTTCAAGTTTGAGTGTAGAAATTTAGATTTTATGTATTGTTCTTGGTGTCATAAAACAGTAAAGCTTGTTTTTAATTATAGTATGTCTTCAAATTATTCACTGTTATGCAAATTTGAGTAAATTTGCACTTAAATCTTCATGCCTGTGATCAGTGGTGGAGCTACAGGGGCAGAAGGCCCGAAAATCATATTGTACAATAAGGTCAAAATGTATTATATTGTTACGTTTATATAGTAAATGATGAACTCTTGGTGAAAATCCTGCCTCAGTCGTTGCTTATGATCCTTTTCAGTAAAATCAATAGAACCAATATTTAGAGATTTCTTCATAGTCTTATTAAGATTGGTAATGTAAGACCTAGCCCCCTTGCTTGTACTTATCCTATTGAGGATTTTTATGTTAATAAAAGATCGCTAAACGCTCTGTGTAGTGGTATAAATTCAAGAAAAAAAATGAATCAGAATTCTTTTTCTGGACTATTTACATAGCAGAATTGACCTTATGATTCTCTAATTGTCTGCCTATTCCATTCGATGAATCTCATGCTCAGAAATAGTTAGTATGTTCATTAGATATCAGTCTTATGGAGATTGTAGTGTTTTACTTCCTTTGAAGTGGTAATAATGCAGAATAACATGAACTCAGTGGGAGGGTATGAGACATTTTAGAAGTTACCAAATTGTGCAATATAGCCTATGATACATGTTATGGAAGGCATAATGCAATTATACGAGCATTATTGTTAGATTCAATTATAAACATTTTCATAATTGCAGGATGTGGGAATTCTCTGTTGGTTTGTACATGATCAACGTCTGGCCAGATTCGTTACTCCTAACGGCTGCTTATGGTGTGGTGGAGTCTGGTTCAACGGCATTGTTTGGTCCTCTCATTGGACAGTGGGTGGATAGGTTAACATATGTTAAGGTTCGTACTCATTCATTCTTAACAGTCCCCTGCACATGATTGATAAAGATCCAATTTAAAATATAGAACATTTTTCCGATAATTGCTATGGTAATTGTCATATACTAAAGGTTATTCATCATTCATACCACAACAACAACTATGCCTCAACAACACCATTCATATTGATATGTAAATGGTATATATGAATCAAGAGGTCAAAAAATGCTTTAGAGATATGTAAGTAAATTGTGCTTTAGTGAAGCAAAATCACAAGACGCATTGGAAATCCACTTTAGTACTGTATTTTGATGAAAGGAACAAAAACTTCTGCTTATGCAAAGGGGTAACAATATGGGGTCGAGTAACCAATCGTTGACATGCATGGTTTAGTAGATATTGCGTACTATTCTGCATACCAAACATTTCGTGGTAGCAGGAGTACTCAGACACGCAAAAAGTTTCTAACAATTATTTTTATATTTCAAGACGTGATCGCATAATGTTCACTTTTGATTAGGAATACAATCTTTGCACTTTGTTGCAGGTTCTCCAACTTTGGTTGCTAAGCCAAAACATCTCATTTATTGTTGCTGGAGGTGCAGTCATTGCTCTTTTAGTCCGTGCAGACTTGATATTGGTCAATCTTACGGCATTTATCTCACTTGTAAGTTTAATTTATATATCCGGAGCTGTTGGTGTGCTTTCATCTCTTGCCGGAACCATCTTGATCGAAAGAGAATGGTGAGACATCTGTAATTTTAAAGTGTGCGCCATCCTTTTCTTGAAATTTTTATTCATAATTTAGTTTGGATGTGTTTACAATTAACTGAACTTTATTGGCAGGGTAGTCGTAATATCAGAAGGGCATCCTCCTGGGCTGTTAACAAAGATGAATTCAATCATAAGACGAATAGATTTGATTTGCAAGCTATTCGCTCCGGTGATAACTGGCTTCATTATCAGCTTTGTTTCTCTAACTGCATCAGCCATGACTCTAGCTCTTTGGAATGTTATATCCGTTTTCTTGGAATACTGGCTTCTTACATCTGTATACAATGGGATTCCAGCTCTAAGTGAAAGCAGCCTGAGGAGGGCCTCAAGATCTTCGCCAGAGCATTCGGATTTAAGCCCCACTATTTCTCATGAACAGAAAAGCACGTTTCACTTGGATAGAATTGGATTGGAGCAATCTGAAAATCTCTGGAGGAAAATAGTCGGTTCGATGTCAAGATTACCTTGCCTTTCTGCATGGAAAGTGTACTTGCAGCAAGATGTAGTCCTCCCAGGGCTAGCCCTTGCCTTGCTTTTTTTTCACCGTACTCAGGTGAAACTTAGTAATGTTACTCGTTATTATGCAATTGACCTTAAAATCATTTGCAACAATCATCCTTGAAATTAACAACTGCACCAGCCTCCCGGTGCTTTTGCCATTTTGCCTGAGAAGGGTTTTAACATTACCTAGGAAAACTTTTAACTTTCTACTAAAATGTCTGATACATAATATACCAAGGGCATATTGATCACTTTTTCGTCTAATTTGTGCCACAGCTTTGGAACATTGATGACTGCTACGCTTGAATGGGAAGGAATTCCGGCATATGTCATTGGAATTGCACGTGGAGTAAGCGCAACAATAGGGATAGCTGCAACATTTCTCTACCCAATATTAGAATCACATATTTCAACACTTCGAACAGGCCTTTGGTCAATCTGGTCACAGGTATTAAGCATAGTAAATACTTAAGGAACCAAAATCTGTATGGTGACAGGATATGATGAGAAGTTGCTAAGAAATTTACGGTGTAATCATTGAATGTTCTGAATTATAAGTTGGTTATATTCTGTTACCTATGCAGTGGACTTTCCTGTTGATATGTGTAGCTTCAATATGGGTCCATAAGAAATTTCTATCAGCATTTATGCTTATGGCTGGTGTGGCTGCATCGCGTTTGGGTTTGTGGATGTTTGACTTAGCGGCCATTCAGCAAATGCAGGTGAGGATGCTAAAACATTTCTGCTAGCTTTCGTTGAAGAGATTTGTCATCTTCATCGTTTCTCTTGATAGCGATTTACATTATATGGCATCTTCATTTCTGGACTTGGACAGGATCATGTCCCTGAAAGTGATCGCTGTGTGGTAGGAGGAGTTCAAAACTCACTACAGTCTTTCCTGGAATTGATGACTTATCTCTCGGGCATAATCATATCTAATCCCCAGGTGATGATCATTTTAGATTTTCATGAATCACTCATTATTATTTCAATCCGGAGAGGCATTTTTAGAACTCATTATTCCCTCGAAGCTGTAACGTGACTTAGAAGTGCTTCACAAAAGAAACTAGGACTTGATAGTGAATAAGAGATTTAAGGAACCTTTTATAGGTAAAGTTCACAACTTCTGTAGAAAGAAGATCTATACAACTTTTCTCTATCAGCCTCAAAGATAAATACTTCTGTTGTTAGCACTTCATTTGCACAACTTCGTAATTTCTGTTTTTGGCGATTATTTTGGAGAGGAACTTGTGAACTCTTGTATATCGATTGAAGCATTTGCTTGGCTAGAGAAATAATAAGAAAATATAATCTATTACCATATTTATCTTTCTCGTAATCAAGAGACGTGATCCTTTGTGTAATCAAAGGTTCTCTTTTGGAAATTTACAGCCTCTCTACCTCCACGAGGTAGGGGTAAGGTCTGCATACACTCTACCCTCCCCAGACTCCACTTATGAGATTACATTGGGTATGTTGTTGTTGTTGTTAGTATTATTTTGTCCTGTGTTAAATACAAGCTCTATCTTTCCATTACATAAAAAGCATTTCTTGTTATTGCATACTTGAAATATGTTTTAACTTGTTTCTTCTGCTGCATTTGATTCAGGATTTCTGGAAGTTGATCCTATTATCTTTCCTTTTAGTGACACTGGCCTCGACGTTATACAGTATACATGTTTATCTGGTTAGGAAGCACCTATTTCACTTTGAGAAGTTCAATTGTTTAGTAAGATCATCTTAGACTCTGCAACGATGAACATGAAAAACAGAACCATAAGCATGTTTCCTTTTTATGAAGCTTGTGGTGGAACAACACGAGGTTTGCTCCTTCCCTCTTGTGTAACTTTTGTGCATCTTGTAAATTACATTTTAGTAGAGAGCTACATGACACAACTTGTATTCAGCAAAGATTGCCTCATAGGCAAATGTCAATGAGAGCCTTTTGTACACCATAAATGTTAATTGTTGCAACTGCTTTTAAGGCAATGCAAGAAATTTTATATTTGAAAAGCTATAACCAAGATTGCTACTATTTGATTTATATTGTACTTCTTCAAGGGTCTATCACTTCGCGGGTGCACATATAAAAACTAGTTCTGGCGCGTGTAACCCAATTTTATTGACCACAAAATTTTAAAGAATTACATAAATATTAGTATTAAGAAACATGTTTGAGTTATAAATTACATACTAAAATCTGTCATTCAAAGTAATTATCTTTTAGCAATCTTTATTTAAATTACTTGTATTTTAAAAAAAAAACATATTGCATAAACTATTTTTCAAGTATTATCAAACTCATCATGTATTAATCGAAGTTTTGTCAATTAAGTAGCACTTAAAAAAATAATAACACAACAAAAGATCTTTAACAATGCAAAATGATACAGAATTATATAAAAATAGGGGTTGCATACCAAATTTATTTTGGACAATCATACCTTAACTCCAAAATGGAAAAGAAAAACTTAAAATCATAAGCTAACATAAAAATGATCTAAAGGAATACATAGGTCATATCTTATACTTCTAAGCTTAACACTTGAACTATATTGTAAGAAAGCTTTTCTTTTTAATTTCCGTATGAAGCTATGTGTTCTTCTTCTCAGTTAGCTTCTTCACAACATGTATCTATATATTATTTAGGAAGAAGAAAAGAGAACAGTAGATGATAGAAAATAATATGATCATCTAGGGAGCAATTTACTGGTGTTTATAGTGATATTTGATTGTCTTTTCACCTACCAAAATTTATTAATGGAGCACATTGAATCATGATACATAAATTTTATTTTGGTTTCAAAATTCAAAGAGTCACGGAATTGGAAGAGTTTCATACATTATTTTGTCTTCTACTCTAATTGAATTTAACCTAATCAATTATAATTATAATGTCATAACTAAAAACTTCAAGTGTAGTTGTTGGACTTCATATTCCCCAATTATGTAATTAATATTTAATAAATTAATTAATTTTATTTTAATTTAGTGGAGAGGCAAAATGGTAATCCAAAATGGAAGTTTTCAGATTTTATCCTAATGTGATTAACATGTTAGGTTGACTTGCTTTTGCACAACCCAAGTCAACAGAAAACCAAATTGAAATTTGTCTATTTTGAGACTAAAGACTAGATAAGTAGCCTTCCTCACCATCTTATGCATAAACTAAAAGACAGAAACATCAACTTTGTTTGTATTTTAAAACATCTGAAGTAGGACCTCCTTAGACAAAATGGTGATGCTGTCTTGACTTTTTCAAAACTCAAAATTGGAGTAACTTTAGTTGCTCATTCCTTGTCTTTGCTTGATATTTTTTTGCGTGTGCCGGCCAATATGGTTTCTATACATGCAACATATCATTCAATATCATTACTGCATTTTATAACATTGCCTCACAATGAAAATATCACTCCTGCTACAGCTTTCTTTCATCACCATGCTAGTGGTGCTTTTTTTGATTAATTCTCCAGTGTATGGTCATTGTTTAGGCAATCAAAAGGCGTTGTTGCTTAAACTAAAGAATGGCCTTACATTCGATTCATCTTTGTCAACCAAACTGGTAAGATGGGATCAAAACACTGACTGTTGCCAGTGGCCAGGTGTAAGTTGTGATCAGAAAGGTCATGTGCTTGTTTTGGAACTGGACAACGAAACAATTTTCAGAGGACTTGAGAATCCAACCAGTCTATTCGATCTTCAGTATCTTGAGAAGCTGAATTTGGCTTATAATCATTTAAACTCTGTTCAAATGCCGATAGAAGTTTATAAGCTCACAAACTTAACATACCTGAATTTGTCATTTGCTGGTTTTGGTGGGAAGATTCCAATGGAATTGTCAAGATTGACGAAGTTAACATTTCTTGACCTTTCTAATGTCGCATTAAAGCTTGAGAGCGGAGATCTGAAGGCACTGGTTGGAAACCTGCCAAATCTTAGAGAACTTTATCTTGATGAAGTGTACATATCATGGAAGGGGATTGAGTGGTGCTCAACTTTATCTTCATCTCTGCCTCAGTTAAGAGTGTTAAGCATGACAAATTGTGGCATTTCAAGCCCTTTTGATCCCATCCTCTTAAATCTTCATTTCCTTTCAGTCATTCGTCTGGATGACAACAACTTGTCCACTATAGTTCCTGAATTTCTAGCAAATTTTACAAAATTGACAACCCTCAGTCTCAGTAACTGCAACTTGAGAGGTGAATTTCCGAATAAGATCTTTCAGGTACCAACTCTACAGGAGCTTCATTTATATGGCAATGAAAAACTCACTGGCACTTTACCTGACTTTTCACAGAATGGTTCATTAAGGGAGTTAGTTCTTGGCAGAACAAATTTCACAGGTTCACTTCCGGATTCAATTGCTAACCTCACAACCTTAACCGAGATTGACTTAAGTTCATGCAATTTCTTTGGACCTATCTCATCAAAAATGGAAAATCTAAGAGATTTAGTTTATTTAGACTTTTCATTCAATAGCTTTACTGGCTCAATCCCACTATTTCGTAAGGCAAAGAAGCTCAATTACATTGACCTTTCTTATAACAATCTAACAGGTCCACTTTCTTCTACTCATTTTCGAGGTCTTTCAGAGCTTGAGTATCTACACTTGGAAGAAAATTCTATCGGTGGGACCCTTCCGACAGTTGTGTTTTCCATTCCATCATTGCAGGTGCTTGAACTTTAGAATAATCACTTCAGTGGAGAAGTCCATGAATTTGCTAACGCGTCCTCCTCTTTTTTGTATAAACTTGACTTGAGCAATAACTATCTAAATGGATCAATCCCCCGGTCTATCTTTAAACTCAATAGGCTTTCACAACTCTCGCTTTCTTCCAACTCCTTCAGTGGGACCATTAATATCGAAGCGATAAAGGGACTTCCTAGGCTAAAAATACTTGATCTTTCTTTCAACAATTTGAGAATTGATGTACAGGGTAGTAATTCAACCTCATCTCCCTTTCCCCAAATGAGTGAACTGAACTTGGCATCATGCCAGTTGCAAAAGTTCCCGGATCTCAAAAACCAGTCATTCATATTTGCTTTAGACCTTTCATACAACAGGATCAAGGGCAATATACCCATTGTACCTACTTCTCTTATCTACCTTTCAATTGCCAATAATAAACTTACGGGATCAATACCCTCTTCCATATGCAATCTATATCAGCATCAATTTCTTGATATGTCAAACAATTCCATAAACAACAAACTACCTCCATGTCTATTTCAAATGTTTGACCATCTCTCAGTGCTGAATCTAGGGAGAAACAGACTAAGTGGCATTATTCTTGATACATTTTTGTCAAACTGCAGTTTGAAAACTTTAGACCTCAGCAACAATAACTTAGAAGGAAAAGTACCAAGATCCCTGCAAAGATGTGCATTTCTGGAGGTTTTGGACATTGGAAACAACAAGATTAGAGATACATTCCCATGTATGTTGAAAACATTACCCAGTTTGCACATCCTAGTCCTAAGGTCGAACAAGTTTTATGGAGATCTCCAGTGTCATATAGCTAATCAAACATGGTCGACGCTTCAAATTATAGATATTGCTTCCAACAATTTCAGGGGAGCACTGCTACCACATTACTTCTCGAGCTTGGAAGGCATGATGAAGAGCAGAAATCCAGAGCCACGACTACACTACTTGGAAGTTGAATTCACCAACTATGGCCTCTACTATCGAAATAGAGTGACTTTAACTCTCAAAGGTCAGGAGATGGAGATTGAGAATATTCTTGAAGTTTTTACTTCCATCGATTTCTCCTGCAACAACTTTGAAGGAGAGATACCAGAGGTATTGGGAGATCTCAAATTGCTTTACCTTCTTAACTTATCGCACAATGCTTTGACAGGAAGAATACCAAAGGCCCTCGGAAAGTTGACTCAGCTTGGATCCTTTGATCTTTCGGTAAACCAGTTAAGTGGGAGAATTCCAGACGAGCTCGCGAGTCTCACATTCCTTGCTTTCTTGAACCTATCTTTTAATCAACTTTCCGGTAGGATTCCAAGAGGCAACCAACTTCAGACATTCTCAGCAGAATCCTTTGAAGGGAACACAGGGCTGTGTGATTTTCCGCTGAAGAAACTGTGCAGTAACACCAAAATGAATGGATCGTCACAACCAAGAAGCCATTCTGACGATGAAACAGTTGATGGGAAATATATAAGTTTTGCATTGGGATCTTCATTGTGTTTTGGTATCGTTACCTGGCTGCTTTTACATAGCACAAGATACAATGAGCTCGTTGACAGACTTCTTTTCAGAATTTTTGGTGAGCACAAAAAGGCGGGCAGAAATAGAAACAGAAGGAGGTCAAGGTAAGTTGAGCTTTATTATTGTAGAGTAGACAAGGTCATGGCAATTGCTGCAGTATGACTATAAGCACATTCTGTTCACTAATTGGTGCCTAAGCTTTGAAGTTGAATCTTTTTACATTCTGTTTTGTTGGATAAGCCTGCATGTTGAATGAAGGAGTTCATTTTTTGTTTTCTGTATGGGAAATTAGTGTCTTTTAGGAAGCAATTAATACCATAATTACACAAATATATACAACTATTACATAGATAATATACAGCTATTATAATCTGTCCATCATGCTAACAAATTGGTCTATTTTTCTGCAAATTCTTGACATGACTATATATTAGTGATCTCTATTCGTTTCAGTAGACTAGTTCTGGGAACGTACTATCATACAAATTTCTATAGGCCTAATTTAACGTTGATAATTATTTATTACATTATTCTTTGGTATTTGTGCAAACATAACAGTGTCAACTAATTCTTTTCATTTTATTTTGGT